CCTGAGTCCACATTCCACTGGAGTGAAGTTTGGAGGAGCCAGACTGCTCTGATGGAGGTAAAAGCACAAACACTGTTTAGAAACTGACACTAAAAATAATGCTTTGCTTTCAGTCGTACTAAACCAGCATATCAAAATGAACTGAAAAATGCAAAAAAATGTCAAGATAGCCCATGAGGAATTTTCTGGGTCTCTGTTTATTGTACTGGGTTTTTGACTACAGGAGAAATAGAAAATTAAGGATTTTTTATGTATTGTGGATGCTTGTGCACCTTATAGGAAATTGTTCAAAGCTTTCAGTTACCTGAGTCAATGCACCAGAGGAAGTACTGTTTGTGTCTTGAGTTAAGAAACAGCCACCATGTCAACTTGATGATGCTCCTCATGTGGCCTTACACTTACCCGCAGTACTTTGTATAAAATCACTCTTTTCTATTAAATGATACGCTCTCCCTGTTGAATGGATTTTCTTTTACACAAAGTGTAATCTCAGCTAAGAAGTGGAACCACTGGTTGCAGGAGTGCTGTGTTGTAATGGCATGGTGTGAGTAATAAAATGCCTCTAGCACAGTTGGACTGCTCAGTTTCCGTGGTGCGGAAGGATGTGCGTATGTACTGCAGTGGAGCTGACAGTAGAGCAAAGCACCAGGTGTTCTGCTGGGAGACAGCTCACCTGCTGAATGAAGTATTTTCAGAGTGCTTATTCCTTCTGGACTCTTCTGCCTGCAGTCGCTCCTGCACTGAGGCTTAGTTGAGCACTGAGGAGGACTTTTTTTTTCCCTCAGTATATCAGATGTGGATAACTAGGAATGCACTGTCTCTTGCACTGCTTTGTTCTGAAATCCTGGTCTTGCATCCTGGTGTGGGCAAAGCACAGTTCTCATCTCTGTAAGTGCAGACTTGCTGATCTCAGTTAGCACTCCCCTGCAATCAGCAGAGACCTGTATTAGTCAAAAGCAGAATGCGTCATTATTTTTTACACTAAAGTCTATAGTTATAATTAACAGTAGTAAGTTTTCAGACTGCACTAAATTGGAGTATTGTGCTAAGCATACTGAAGTTTTTGTGCCTGACCTTGCAAATGCCACACCCTGTTCACTGACACGTGCTGTGATCCCCCTGACCCCAGCACACCTGTCAGTGAGTGTGTGTGCAGACCTTGCTTTGGACTCCAAAGGGCTCGGTTGGAATGGCTTTTCCTGGGAAAGTGGATGCTTGTGGTGTTGCTGATCTCTGTCTAGATGCAGTTTTTCCAAGTTTTCTGTGGTGAACAAAGAGATGTCAGTGCTCTTACTTTTTGTTTGGGTTTTTTTCCTTGGAAGTCCCTTAGAACAAGAGGTTTGGGTTTTGGACGCCCTTTTCGCATGCTTTTAACCAGGAGAAGCATGTCCTGTCTCAGTCCAGTAGCCAATGTAGTACTTCATTTTTTTACAGACTAACCATTTATGGTGCTCATCTGAGCAACACAGCTTGGAAACTTATGTCATAACTAAGTAAACTGTCGTGTTAGTTTGATGGACTGGAGAATACAGGATTTTAAAACGTGTGTCGTGTATGCGTGTCATGATGTGGAAAAGCAATGGCTCTCCTTGCTGGGTTTACCTGGCCTGCAATTCCTGGCAGCCTGTTCCAGCCAGGCGTGTGCTGCCTCCCACCACCTGTGTCTGGGATGTGCAGATCTTTCTCTTGTGGATGTGCATGAATAGCTGTGCTATGGTGTGGCTGTGTCTGCTCTGTTTGCTCTGTCTGTTCCTTCCTGCTGTCAAAGGGTTATTTATGGATTAAGCATGACTGGGATAGCTGCTCTCTTTGCACTTTACTGCCTGAACTCTGTTGTTCAGTCTTTTTATGTTGAGCCTATATTTTAAGGAATTGGAATCACATTTTTGTACCTGTTTTTAACTTCTATTAAATAAAATGTATGTAATGTGACTGGTTTTAAATCATAAAAATCCTGTGAATTTTCAGGTTTCCTAGGCATCCATTCCAGAACTATGTAAATCCATTTGGATTAGGTTGTATGTCGAGGCCAGTGGAAGACTTTGGGGCTTGCTAGTTCACTTACTGTAAAGGCAGGATTTTTTGGATCCTGTTGTAAATGGACCAGTGCTTGTTCATTTATAATTTCACACCACTCTTTTGATGTATTTGGTGGCACACATACACCACCACTAGGGTTTGGGACAGAGGTCCTTACTCTGTTCCAGCGTGGCCCCCAGCAGCTGTTGGCAGAAGCGCATGGGCTGGGTGCTTCTCTGTTGGTGTTGCAAGCTGTGCATGGCATGAATGCTGGAAATAAAGAAGAGATGAGAATTTAACTCCAAAGATGGCTGTGCCAGCCCTGGTTCTTCCTGCGTACCTGCACTCTGGTGGGGAAGTGGCTGTGGCAGGGTAGGTGTCACCTCCAGGTCTCAGCTGGGAAAGGTGTCCAGCAATGGTGACAGCAGCAGCAACTACCTAGGTTTTAATGCACCTCTGCTGTTTATTTCCCTCTGACCAGTTCCCAAACTGCAGCAATGTTTATTTCCAGCAGGAAGGGAGGGGGTATAATGATTCCAGCTTTTTGTCATGGCTTTTCACTGCAAGGTGGCTCAGTCTCTGCAGTCAGAGCCCTTGGAGAGCAACCTGGGAGAGGTGACTCAAGGCTTTGCAGAAAAGCACACTGTTCTTGGAAGTGTGGGGAAGGTGAGAAGATCTCACGGATGGTTCTGGTTGCCCCAGAAGAACTAGAAGGGAAGGCTTTGCTGCAGGATCAGTGCTCTGGCAAAGTGGCACAAACTCTCCAGCCACTGTGCTCTGCAGGTCAACACAGCGGTTTTGTTTCCTGGGGGAAAATGTCTTATTGTTCCTTCTACTGTTTCTCAAGGAAGATTTTTCTGAGCTCATACCCCAAACTATACTTCTAATTTTTTTGCCAATTTTGATACTGTCTCCCTTGCTTTGTTTGCATGAAACATGGCAATGAATTTCAAAGTTTTGTGCTCATCCTTCTGCTTTTCCTTAGAACCATGCTGTGGTCTGAGCTGTTCTGTGCAGCCAGGATATGCACCCAGTACACATCCTGATGGGGCTGGAGTCTGGAAGAGTTTCATCCCATGAGAGAAAACAGCTTGCACGCAAGGAAGCCTTCCCAGCTACCCTTGTGCTGGCACAGGCGTTGTGGAGGGCAAGTCTGTTTTGTAGCCATTCTAAATACCTTGAGTAATTTTCTAAAGGAAAATGCATGTGTCCTCAAACATGTCTATGGGCCTAATGCTGCATTTTGCAGTCAGACTGGCACTGCTTGTGGATACACACATCACACTGTGTGGTTGTACAGCCAAACAGCTTAGCAGCAGCTCACCTCTTGCAAACCGATGAGCATGGATCCACTGGAGGAGTGAACCCATTCTGAAGCTGCAGAGCAGGGTGGGCAGAGGTGGCCCATGCTGCCAGGTGGCCGCACACCTGCTGTGCTGACGCTACAGCTCTGGCTAACTCTCCCTTTCCAGCTGTGAAAGCTGTACTCAACATCCTGTGACTGATGAAGGTGGCCCTTGATCTGTCATCTTGTGAGCTGAATTCTGCCTCAGGGTTGCATCTGGCTTGAGTTCACCTTCTAACTGGTTTTGAAGTTTAATCTGTGAGTCCATCTGCCTGTTTACCTTCCGTTCGTGTCTGGCAAGGCAGCTTCAGGCAGGCAGGCTCTGGCTGTGAGAAGACAAACTACTTCCACGAGTTCAGGAAGAGTAAATCGTGACTCAAACCCCAGCAACCTGCAGGCTGAAGAAACAGCGAGATGCTTCATGAGGAAACTGCAAAGCCTCAGCCACATCTCACAGCTCAGGCAGTCCTGGGGTTCCCTTCTCTGCTGATGCTGTTTCTTTCCAGCGGCATTTTCTTTCCAGACTGCTTTCATCCTCTGTCAAATGCAGCCTTCCTCATTTTCTGCTTTAGTCCTTGGGTGTAGGAGACGGAAATTGGGTGACTTCTACGTCCCAATGTGTGCAGCAGGTCATGGGCACATCTTAGACATGCAGAAAACTTGAGCAAGCTGGAGACTTTCCTGCAAGAAAGGAAACTTTCCTGGGAGAGTTTTTCCTAGATGGGAAGTATACCGTAAGTTTAATTTTCTCCCTTATAATGTCTCTGAAGTTCAGAGTAATTTCTGTTGGTTATCATTGTCCAGATAAACCTATTTCATCCTGTGCAAATAATTGCCACGTCCTGTGTCCAGAGTGGGGTGAGAGGGAACCCTGTTGTGGATGTGGTCAGTGCCAGGCAGCTGGTGCTCCACCTCCCTGCCAAATGTGATGGGGAGCTCCATGACACTCCTGTGTCG